ATTCCGAGTGTTGCTGGTATGATGTTCGTGTGAGATGTGATGACCGCGGGATGCGTTCCAGTCCTGTGGTTGGTTGGACCTGGTGGAGATGTCCGACAGAGCCCGTCATTCTTGTCTCGGGGACATGATGCGGGTATGGGGCTGGCTCGGCTACGAAGCTGGCGGTTGCGGGTACGCACGCACATTCGTTTTTGCTTTTTTTTTCGGGAGCTAGCCCGCGGGGTGTGGGCGACCTGAAGTTGATCTTGCCGCAGCGAGTGGTGGGCCTGTTGTACCCTTGGTTTCTTCGTTGAGTGAGTCTCGTTCGGCGGCGCTCCCGGGGTTGACGACGAGACCGCCCGCTCCCCTGACCACATCTAAATCTGACCTGTATCAAATCAAGCTCATGGTAGTATCCGTAGACGCGCTAACGGTGTGTTAGCTAACGGCGAAGTGGGACAACCGATTGTAGGAAGGCGTGTTCCGTGGCCAAACCAGTTGTAGGAACCATTGGCTCGTGTTTTCCTACAACTCGCTGTGTCGGTGTCGTTCGATACACTCGCAGATTTGAAATGTAGGAAATGGTGTTTCGTGATTTCCTACATTTTGTGTTGCGTGAGCTAGGTGTCACAAAACCAAGGTTCCCAACCGCACCGTTAACCAAGCACGCCGCCAGCGCGGCCTCGGAGTATGCGTTCGGCAGGGGTCCGTCCTGGGACCTCGGCCTCGGCCCTCGGTCGTTTCGAGGCCTCTCGACTTCCTCCGCCTCCTCGACGTCCTCCTGGTCTCCCTCCGACCCCTTTTCATGGAAGTGAGCGCCATCTTGGGCTACAGAGTCGTGGTTTGCTCCTGTCCCCCGTTTCGGAGCCATCAGGACTGGGGCCTGGTGCCCAAATTATATCAGCCGCGCGGCAATGAGAGACATTGGATATGCTAGTGCTTTGCTTTGCTCTGCCGCCTTCTCCTCCTCCTCCTCCGCATCTTCCTCCTCCTCCTCCTCTTCTTCCCCCTCCTCCTCCTCCTCCTCCTCCTCCTCCTCTTCCTCCTCCTCCTCCTTCTTCTCCTCCTCCCCTCCTCTTCCCTCCTCCTCCTCCTCCTCCTCCTCCTCCTCCTCCGCCTCCTCCTCCGCCTCCTCCTCCTCCTCCTCCTCCTCCTCCTCCTCCTCCTCCCCCTCCCCCTCCTCCTCCTCCTCCTCCTCCTCCTCCTCCTCCTCCCTCCTCCTCCTCCTCCGCCTCCCTCCTCCTCCTCCTCCTCCTCCTCCTCCTCCTCCCTCCTCCTCCTCCTCCTCCTCCTCCTCCTCCTCCACCTCCCTTCTCCTCCCTCCCTCCTCCCCCTCCTCCTCTCCTCTCCTCCTCCTCCTCCTCCTCCTCCTCCTCCTCCTCCTCCTCCTCCTCCTCCTCCTCCCCCTCCTCCTCCTCCTCCCTCTCCTCTTCCTCCTCCTACTCATCCTCCTCCTCCTCCGCCTCCGCCTCCGCCTCCGCCTCCTCCGTCTCTCCCTATGGGAATCGAGTGCGTCGTTTGCGGTGTTGGCCCTCTCTGCGCTTTGTAGGGGTTGTTGAGGCGTCGTTACCCTCCTCGCAGTCCTGGGCCTCTCAGGTCGGGCGAGCGGGGGAGGATCGGGGAAGAGGTGGGCTACGCCATCTGATGCGCGCAGCTTGTTTCAGGCCCCGCCGCTGGGCAGGCGTCCTCCGCACAGGGCGTTGCGGGCGCCTGGTGGCGTCGGGAAACTGACTACGCGAGCTGCTTCGTCAGCGCTCCCCTTCTGCTATCTCCCCAATGTTTTATCCCCAAGCCTCGTCATCACCCTCCCCGTCCCAGGGAATCATGCACGTGTTATGTGTGTGCGTCGCTGTTCCCACTTGTGGCACGAAGGGTCCTCGAACCCAGGGTAGAGTCGAATCGAGTCCTCCTCGTGTTCTCTCTTCGTCCTCGTGCTCGTCTGTGTCTCACCTCCTGGTGCTACTCCTCCTCCTTCTTGCCTCTGCTCATGCTGGGCATGTCCATCCTGTCAGTCCACCATCCTGCTCCCATCCCTCATACAACCTGCCTCGACCCTCCTCCCTCCCCTCCACCCACTCCCCTATCCCCCTTCTCCACTCCTTTGTACTTCTCTCGCTCTCTCTCTCTCTCTCGTTCGTTCTCCCTCCCTCTCCCTCCCTCCCTTTCTCTATCTCTCGCTCTCTTTCTCTATGTTCTCTCTCTCTCTCTCTCTCTGTCTCCCGTTTTTTGTTCTTTCTTTATCTCCCTCTCTCTCTATCTCTCTCCCTCCCCTGCCATCCCCTCCCCTCCTCTCCCGCCGCCTCCCTCCTGCCGCCTACCTCTCAGCCTTGAGCTCTCTAAACCCACCCGCTGCTCCTCCATCACCATCATCATCATCATCATCATCATCATCATCATCAGCATCAGCATCAGCATCAGCATCATCAGCATCAGCATCAGCATCAGCATCAGCATCAGCATTAACATCAGCATCGTCATCATCATCAGCAGCAACATCAGCATCAGCATCAGCATCACCATCAGCATCAGCATCAGCATCATCATCATCATCAGCCTCATCATCATCATCAGCACGATCATCATCATCATCACGTGTTTCTTCTTCCCGAGAGCCCAGCGGGGGTTGGGAAGAGGAGGAGGCAGACGTTGAGGAACGGGGAGTGAAAGAGAGGGGGTTCGAGGTGAGGGGAGGAACTGACAACGGGTAGTTGCGGTACGTTTGTGCTGCAGTTTGTTTGACCCCCCCCCCTTGGCAGAGGTGGTTGTCCTCGACCCGCGCTACGCCAATGTCTCACAGCACAGGCGCTCCAATGAACGCACGGCGCCCCTGAGTTTTGCAGAGAACTAGCAGCAGCAGAGAAGGGGGTATGATCTATATATATATATATATACACATATATCTATAGAGGTATCCAGAGAGCCAGAGACAGACATATGCGTACTTATCAACACATATCGTACGCGTGCTGGCGTACACGAACTCGCGTGTCGCAAGATGTGTTGCAGAGCTCGACGTGTGTACGTACATATATTGACATACATCGGCCGTGCAGAATGCGTTCATGGTGCACGTGGCGCCAAGTCATGTGGCACAAGGCCATCTGTGCTTGTATTAGCTGCCGACTGTGTATACATTAGCTCGTGGCAAGCGCAGTATGGCCCAGGTATAGGCGTGTCGGCGCACAGACGTGGAGAGAGATGGAAAGAAAGAGAGAAAGAGAGAGAGAGAGATATAGAGAGAGAGAGATGGCGAGAGCGAACGAGAGGAACGAGGAGGAAAGAGAGAGAGAGAGAGAGGGCCCAGCATGGGTATGTCAACAAAGGCTTTTTTAGAGAGATGAACGTGTGTACCTCTCCCTGTATTTATGTATTTACATGCAGAGAACCCCGCCGTTCCTTCACTGTGTACAAGCTTTCTGTTGCGTCCTGGCAAGGATCAGAGCGACAGATCGCAGCCATTACGGTTTACATTGCCTCCGTGTCGCGAAATTGTCGTCTATGTGAGCGTTCGATTGCGTTGTATGGCGGACATGATGTACCGATGCCGTCAGTGGTGTTATGAAGCTGGGGGGTATTCTACACAGTTCCTGATTCCGCACTGTTGTTAAACAATTGTTGGAGATGAGCTACGGTCCAGTGCGGCGCGGTCTCGGCCGTTATTTTGTCCTGCATTGTCACATTGTCACGCTCGGTTAACTAACCTGTGTTGCAAACGGTGGCAGGTGATGATCGCTTTAGCACGCAAAACGACGGATATCAAACAACACGCCTCACTGGCATTTGTGTTGGTGTCGACGATTGGCACCTGCAGGCGTCGAGTGGAAAGGATGAGAACGAGGTGGAAGAGGAGGAGGAGGAGGAGGAGGACGGGTGAGGGAGAGAGTGAGCCTAGAAGGTTTGGGTATGTTTGTTTGATGCGTTTTGGGGTTGTGTTGGATTGTCTCGGGGGTCTATCTTGGGACTCTGTGGGCCGTCTTCAGGGCTCATGCCGTGGTGCGGAATCTGCGTGTTGTTTGATGATGGTGTTGTTGGTTGTTGGTGTTGTTGTTATTGTTATTGTTGTTCTCGTTGATGTTGGTGTTGTTCACTAACAGTTATTATTGTCGGACCCCTTACAGGCGCGCTGGCGCTCTCGCCGAGGCGCCGGCTACATGTTCATTGAACATGAGGCTCACGCTCGAGTGGTTTTTGGGACCGCCAAAACGGGCCCCGCAACAACAAGAACGCTCCCGCTCGAGACTTCCTCCTTTTTTACTCAGGGCTGGTGTTCTTGCTCGCCGCCGAAAGCCGCCGCCCTAAAAAACAAAACATCAGCGCACCCGCTCGAGGCTTCCTCCCGTTTTACCTTGGACTGCCGCGCTAGTCTTTAACTCATCGGCGCCGCCCCCAGCAAAAACAACGCGCTTCCTCCCTTTTTTACTCAAGGCGGTGTTCCTCCTCGCCGCCGAAAACCGCCGCCCGACAAAACCAGCGCTCCCGCCCGAGACTTCCTTACGTTTTACGCTGGACTGGCGCCCTACTCTCTTTTGGATTGGCGCCGCTCCCAGCAAGAACAACGCTCCCGCTCGAGGCTTCCTCCCTTTTTCCTGAAGACGGTGCTGTTCCTCGCCGCCGACAGCCCTCGTCCCGACAAAACCGGCTCCCGCTCGATGCTTCCTCCCTTCTCAAGGCGGTGTTCCCCCTCGCCGCCGAAAACCGCCGCCCGACAAAACCAGCGCTCCCGCCCGAGACTTCCTTCCGTTTTACTCTAGATTTGCGCCTTACTCTCTTTTGAATTGGCGCAGCTCCCAGCAAGAACAACGCTGCCGCTCGAGATTTCCTTTCTTTTTCCTCGGACGGTGCCGTTTCTCGCCGCCAACAGCCCCCGTCCCGACAAAACCACAGCTCCCGCTCGATGCTTCCTCCTTTCTAACTCAAGGCGGTGTTCCTCGCCGCCGAAAGCCGCCGTCACAACAAAACCAGCGTTCCCGCTCGAGACTTCGTTTTGTTTTACGCTGGACTAGCGCCCTACTCTCTTCAGCATTGGCGCAGCTCCCAGCATTAACAGCAGCCCTGCTCGAGACTTCCTCCATTTCTATTCAGGGCCAGGTCCTTGCCTCACCGCCGACAGCCCCCATCCCCACCAAGGCAATCCTGTCGTTCGATACTTCCTTGTGCTTTACCCTTCGCTGGGGTTCCATTGGCGGTCTGCAAGGTGCGGGCATGTGTTTTTGAGGCGGGATATGTTTAGATTCCTCGGAGAGGTGTTTGCAAGACCTCATTGGGCGGGGGATCTGGGAATGGGAATAACGGACCCCGCTTTAGAACAAGAGCCCCCCATGATGTGGATGGTTATCATGATGGTCGCATGCTTCGCGTGGAAACATCGCGCATGAGGGTAATGTGATTGTTGTTGTTGTCGTTGTCGTTGTCGTTGTCGTTGTCGTTGATGTTGTTGTTGTTGTTGTTGTGGTTGTTGTGGTTGTTGTTGTTGTTGTTGTTGTTGTTGTGGTTGTTGTTGTTGTTGTTGCTGTTGTTGTTGTTGTTGTTGTTGTTGATGTTGTTGTTGTTGTTGTTGGTTTGTTGGTTTGTTGGTTTGTTGGTTTGTTGCTGTTGTTGTTGTTGTTGAACATTATTTATTCTAAAGAATAATTATTGTTGGGCCCCCTGGTGCGCGCCCCCCCTGCGCCGCCTAGGCCGCAGCTACATTTTCATCATTTTCGTGAGGAAGCCTCAGAAAAGAGGGTGTGTACAGGATCCGGTTGTTTTGTTGTAATCCGCTTTCCCTTGCAAAAAACAATAGAAAATTACATTTCTTGTTCTAATATAATCAAATTTCAAGAATCCCTTGCAACAAATGAGGTAAAGTGGACATTCGCGCGCGCAAGACGAAATCCTTCCAAAACCTTAGTGTTCGGCAGCGATTTTAACATAAAAACATCAAAAAACCAATGGTTTTTCAACAAAAAATGTCAAAATCTCATCCCGCGCGCTCTTGCGGATTCGTAGGAAACCCAACACTTTTTTAAACATTTCTGTCAAACGGGCTTTTGCGAGCAACTTTTTCGAACTTCTGCGACAACGGTTGCGCACCTGCCAGGGCCATCATCCCTGTCAAATAATACCATGCGGGACACATTCGTTTTTTCTTCGCGCGCGCACGCCGTCGTCGTCGGCCGCGGGGCCCTGAATAGTAGCCACGGTCGTCCGCATGCCACGAAGTGAAGTGTCCGAACGTCATAGGGCGGGAAGCTGGGTGTGGGTGGTGGCGAAGAGTCGTTTGGAAATTTGGTAGAGCTTGAACCGGCCCCCCCACAAAGTGGGGGTATTGCCCGCCTCCTATGAAAACCCTGGCACTGGTGAGAACGGAGTGTCCCCACGTGCTAGTAATTGTTGTTGTTGTTGTTGTTGTTGTTGTTGTTGTTGTTGTTGTTGTTGTTGTTTCTGTTGCTGCTGGTGTTGTTGTTGTTACATCTGGGTTATTGAAAAAGATTATCAATGTTGGGCCCCTTACAGGCGCCCTAGCGCTGTCGCCTCAGCGCCGGCTGCGTTTCCTTTGAAACTCAGGCTCCAGCTCGGGCGTTTCGGGGGTGCGCCGAAACCGGCCCCCCAACAGCAACAACAACAACCATTTTAAGGCTGTACGCTCTTACTTGCCCGCGAGTCATTCAACACGTATACCCTACACCCTCGAAACCCGCCCTCTTCGTCTTCGATCACACCCCTTTCGGGGGGATTATTTCTCTTTGCTGGGGCCGGCGGGCTTAGACGTACGGGCAAACCGGAACGGGCGGACAATCCTTCGGGGGCGTACATCTCTCTGCCCGCCATTGGAATTGGCGCGGGCCCTGCAAGAGGAGGAGGGGAAGAACGAGGGAGAGTGGGAGGAAGGGGAGGGGGAAGGACGAAGGAAAGGGAAGATACCACGTTGTGAAGGCGTCCTTGGCGCGCGCGTGGTTCCTGAGCGCCGAAACGCAATTCCAAAATAATTTGTGAGGACGTCGCACGCGAGAGCGCAGTCCTGAGTACATTGTGAGGAAATCTCGGGCGGGAGCGGGGGCCCTGACTAAGTTGCGAGGAAGTCTTAAGCGGGAGCGCCGTTCCTGAGCAAATTGCACGGAAGTCTCAGGCGGGAGCGGGGGTCCTCACTAAATTGCGAGGAAGTCTCAGGCGGGAGCGCCGTTCTTGAGTCAATTGTGCGGAAATGTCAGGCAGGAGCGGGGGTCCTGAGTAAAATTCGAAAATCTCAGGCGGGAGCGCCGTTCCCACGTAAATTGCACGGAAGTCTCAGGCGGGAGCAGGGGTCTTGATTACATTGCGAGGAAGTCTCAGATGGGAGCGCCTTTCCTGAGTAAATAGCGCGGAAGTCTCAGGCGGGAGCGGGGGCCCTGAGTAAAAATCGAGGAAGTCTCAGGCGGGAGCCGTTGTTGTTGTAGCCCGGGGGGCAGGGGCACAGTTTGAGCAGGAAGACTTTCTTTTAGAAAAAACAAGGTGCGAGCCCCGGGGGTGGCACTTCAATCGAAAAAAATCAATGTGCACCGGTGGGGGGGGATCAACAATAATTATTCTTCAAGAGTGAGAGTTCAACAACAACAACAACAACATTCCCGCTCCATAATACCTGCTTATCTACTCGGGACCAGGTCTCTTGCTCGCCGCCGAAAGCTGGCTCCCCCACAAAGCCGGCTTTGTTTTTTACTCAGGACTGGCGCTCACGCTTCGGCGCCGCAAGCGGCCCCCGTGCAAACACAACGACGCTCGCGTTCGACACATCCTCCGCTTTCACTCAAGACTTTGAGAGGCCCTGAGGCTTCCCTAGTCCATGCTGAACCTTAACTGTTCCAGTATTGTGCTTGTGGACCGCCCTAAATATCCGCACTGGCGCCCTCGCCTCGTCGCCGGATTTCCTCTGACAATGAAGCTCACGTGCAGGCGCTTCAGAGCCCTGGACAGTCTTCCTGCGGCATTTCTCGAGACAGATCGGGCTGCGAGGATCTCGGGACCCGGGATGGGGCGACAGCGCCTGGTGTGCAAAAATTCGAAGCGCCCGATCTCGAGGTTCCTTGTTCCTGCTGGCCCACCCCGCCAGCGGGGCTCCAGGAGGAGAATCTTGGAGGCCTGCGGCCCTGCGCGGCGCATTGTGCTATCTAGTCCACACGCCCGCCCCGAGAGTATGGCACGACGTTTGCGGGGCGATGTTCCAGCGTAGGTCCGACGTGAATGCGACGCGAACCCGACGAGAATCCGACGTGAGTCCGACGCGGATTCCACGCACAGTGGGTCTCATCTTGTCGCGCAAAACCTCCAGGATTGCGCTCACATGTCAGGAGGGGAAGACTGACGCGAGGGCAGAGGACAACCCATCTTCCCATGTATATATATATGTATGTATGTGTATATACATATATATATATATATATATATGTACACATACGGATCTATATATATATATATGTATATATACATATATATATATATATACCACGATCCACACACATTATATGTGTTCGACGTCTCGAGGATATCCTGGGATTTGCGCCGATGTATTTACATGTGCGTACGCTTATACACCTTTAACTGATTCCGTGTCTGTGCACATCTCTTCGGCGTGCTCGAAGTATCGAGGAGCTCCTGTGGGCCGTGCCGATGCACTCCCTGCTCCCCCTGGGCCCCTTCGGCACGGGCCCGCCCCGCCCCCCCCCGCGGCGGGAGAGGCTGAGCCAGCTCCCCGACCCGGGCGCCATGCTGCCCGCGGCCTCGGCGCGCGCGCAGGGCGGGGGAGGTGGCGCGCGGAGGCCCCCGGAGCGAGCTCCGGGGCACCGCCGGAGGGCGTGCAGCTTGGCGGCGAGCAAGGGGGGGAGGAGGAGGAGGAGGAGGAGGAGGAGGAGGAGGAGGATGAGGAGAGAGGGAGGAGGAGGAGGAGGAGGAGGAGGAGGAGGAGGAGGCGGAGGAGGGGGAGGCGGAGGCGGAGGAGGAGGAGGAGAGGAGGAGGAGGAGGCGGAGGACCTAGGGAGGAGGAGGCGGAGGACCTAGGGAGGAGGAGGCGGAGGAGAAGGAGGAGGACCTGGGGAAGCGGCGGAGGAGGCAGGAGGAGGAGGAGGCGGAGGGGGAGGATGATGAGGAGGAGGCGGAGGACCTGGGGAAGCGGCGGAGGAGGCGGCTCGCAGGAGGAAGGGACGGAGCGAAGGAGGAGGAGGAGGATCAGAGTAGACCCAAGATGTCTCAACGGTGCCGCAGGATCCTGCAGGATACTGACTGACCGGGGTCTGGATTGACCCTGGTCAGTAGATCCCTGACCCGAGCCGTTCTTGATGTCTTAGGCACCGAGAGTGGAGGAAAACCAGCCGCCCCAGTATTTTTCGGGGGCGGGCAAGAGGGGGATGATGACTCGGGGGGGTGAGGGGCATCACGGCTGGCGCCACCATGCCTCCGCGGATCTCATGGCCCCTTTCTCTTCTATCAAAGCGTCCCTTGATCCCCCCCTCGTCCACGCACATGACTGCGGCCATGATTTGCGAATCCCCTTCTGCGTAGGACGCCCCCCTTTTGGACGCCCTCGATTTTTTAGAGCCGCCGTGATGCGCGAGGCAGGGTGCCCTGGGAACTGCAGCAGGCCGCTGCCCGATGCTGGGTCCCAGACGTGCGCGCGCCGCGAAGCAAGCACCACGGATTGCTTCTTAAGTGGCCGTCTTCGGCCTCCGGGGGCCCTCGCTTGGCACCCGAAGTTGGGTCCCCTGGGCCATGGGGAACCATCCCTTTGTTCGTCCCGAGCTGCTTTGTGGACGGCCCATTCGCTTGAGTCGGGCCTGTACCTCTAAGGGAGGAGCATTCAAAGATAATAAAAGCATGGTCTGGGGACGACTTGTTGAGTATTGTTTGAGAATGTTGGGGTATTTGTGTTACTATTTTTTGTAGTTTTCGTCCACAATCCCGCTGTAGTAGGACAGGCCCGACTTAAGCTTTGTTCGTCCCGAGCTGTTTTGTGGACGGCCCCTTACGCCCGAAAGCGGCCCCCCAGGTCATCAGCGAGAAGGGAGGAAGCCTGGCCGCCCGGCTTCGGGCTCTGCTGGAGGTGCCCCTGGCCTCAGGTGTCCCTGCAGTCGAGACGCTGAGCGGAGGACCTCTCGCGCGGCGCAAGCATATTAACGGGTTCGTCTGCGCCGACACTGGCGCGTGAGCTGCCCGCGTGAGCGCGCACGCGCCCTCGTCTCCGACGTGGCGTGCAGCGCCGGCGCCCGCGCGGGCCGCCACGCAAGGTCGACATGCCATCTCGCGTAAGACCCGTTTTCGATCGTCGCTCACGTTGGGGTCGGGGCGGGGCTCCGGTTCTCGAGCCGCTCCCCCGAGGCCTGAATCGGGCAGCCTGCTCGAGGCCGAGCTGCACTCGCGTGCAAGGACTCCATGTCCTGAGCGTGCCCCTCCCGCCCCCCTTGTTTGACTCAGGAGGGGAAAAAATGCACAGACACAATTGATCGTCGATTCCCCAGAAACCAACATGGGAAGAAGGGGGGAAGACGAAAACCAGAAAATATAGGAAAATAGGGGAATCGTTTTATTTGTGTGTATTTGTTTGTGTGTCCCAGGGCCCCTTCATTGACGTTGCACGGACACGGACACGGATCTGGGATCGTTGCGTTCTGAGTGCGCGAAAAGTGCTGATCGCCGATGTAGGCCCACAGCAAACGAATTAGGCCTTGTGCGGGCGCAGCAGACACGGCAAGGCGTAGAGCAGCGACGAAAGGTCACCAATTCTTGTTCTTCTTCTTCCTCCTCCTCCTCCTCCTCCTCCTCCTCCTCCTCCTCCCCCTCCTCCTCCCCCTCCTCCTGCTCCTCCTCCTCCTCATCCTCCTGCTCCTCCTGCTCCTGCTCCTCCTCCCACTCCTTCTCCTCGTCCTCGTCCTCATCCTTGTCCTCCTCCTCCTCCTCCTCCATTCCTTTTCCTTATACATAACTTCTCCCTGTCGCACCCCGAGGCCCGTTGTTAGGGCGGGCCGGGCGTTTCGCCTGAGACTTCCTCACCATGTATGACCTTGAAGCTTAAGCCATTGCAACAACTTCGCAGATGGAGGGCGGGCCGTTTTCGAAGTGTTGCTTCCGCCTTAGCGCCGCGCGCATTCGTTTTAAACAATATGCAGGAATTCCGCGGATTGAGGGCGCCTGGTTTTCAAAATGTGGCTCTCGCCTTAGCGCCGCGCATATTCTTTTCAAAACATAGCAAGAGCTTCACGGATTGAGGGCGAACGGCTTTCAAAATATGGTTCTCGCCTTAGCTCCGCGCGCGTTCGTTTTTTTTTGTTTGTTTTAATTTGTAAGAGTTTCACGAATTGAGGGCGAGTGGTTTTCAACATGTGGCTCTCGCTTCAGCGCCGCGCACATTTAGTTTTTTTCACAGCTTGCAAGAATTTCGGGGATTGAGGGCGAGTCGTTTTCAAAATGTGGTCTCGCCTTACTGCTGCGCACCTCGTTTTGTAACGTTGCAAGAGTTTCACGGATTGAGGGCGGTTCTTTTTCAAAATGCGGTTCTCGCCTTAGCGCCGCGCACATCCGTTTTTAATGTTTGCAAGAGTTTCACGTGTTCCCGTGATCAGCGCATCAGACATTGCGTGTTGGAAGGATTCCGGATTATGAGGGTGCAGCAGTTACGTTGATTCGCAGTGTTGCAGCAGGAATGGTGGTCTGGCACCATTCAAGATCGTCAAGATGCAACAATTAGGTTGATCCGTGGCGCTGGAATCATGAGAACAATGTTTTGGCATGCTTCAGGGTCTTCAAACGGTTGCCTTCCAATTAGGCAGTTCCCTCAGTGGAGAGAAAAAGCCCTTGTAGGGGCCTTTGAAGAGGGAGCTTGGAGGGAGGGTGTATGCCAACATCGTGAATGACTCTTTGGTTTACACTGATCTTCCCTCCCTCCTCCTCCGCCTCCTCCTCCTCCTCCTCCTCCTCCTCCTCCCCTCCCCGTCCTCATCCTCATCCTCCTCTTCCCTTCCTTACTCCCGCCCTCTCCCCTCCCTCCCTCTCCTCCTCCTCCTCGTCCTCCTCCTTCCTCTCCTCCTCCTCCTCCTTCTCCTCTTCCTCCTCTTCCTTCTTCTATTTATCCTCATCCTCCTCATCGTCCTCCTCCTCCTTTCCCTCCCCTCCTCCTCCCACCCTCCATCCATCCCTCCATCCATCCGTCAGTCCGTCCGCCCGTCCATAACTCTCCTCCCCTCCTCCATGCTCCCTCCCGCCCTCCCTCCTCCCTCCGTCCTCCTCCTCCTCATCCTCCTCCTCCTCGTCCTTCCCTCCTCGTCGTCGTCCTCCTCCTCCTCCTCTTCCTCCTCCTCCTCCTCCTCCTCTCCTCCTCTCTTCCTCCCTCTCCTCCTCCTCCTCCCTCCTCCTCCTCCTGCTCCTGCTCTCCTCTCCTCCTCCTCTCCTCCTCCTCCTCCTCCTCCTCCTCCTCTTCTCTTCTTTTCTCTTCCCTCCTCTCCTCTTCTCTTCTCTTCTCTTCTCTTTCTTCTCTTTCTCTTCTCTTCTCTTCTCTCTCTCCTTCTCTTCTCTCCTCCTCCCCTCCTCCTCCTCCTCCTTCTCCTTCCGCCGCCTCCTCCTCTTCCCCTCTCTCCTCCTCCGCCTCCCCCTCTTCCTCCTTCCTCCTCCTCCTCCGCATCCTCCTCTTCCTCCTCCTCCTCCTCCGCATCCTTCCTCTCCTCTTCCTCCTCTCCTTCTCCTCCTCCTCCTCCTCCTCCTCCTCCTCCTCCTCCTTCACCTCCTCCCCTTTCTCCTTCTCCTCCTCCTCCTGCTCCTCCTCTTCCTCCTCCTGGCTCCTCCTGCCTCCTCCTCGCCCCGGGGGGGCCCCTCCCATAGGGGAGGGGTCGGGACCCAGGGTCCTCCTGGCGCAGGCGGGGAGCGCCGGGCCCGAGGGGCGAAAAGCTCCCGCTCCCCTTGGACGGCCCCAGAAGCGGGGTCTCCTTCTCAGGGGTGGCAGCCAGGTCCCGGGGCCGCCCCCACGGCGGCGCAGGGATTCTCCCCCTGCGTTCGCCGCCTTGGGGCGGGACTGGCTGTCCGTCTTCCCTGTCATGTCGTCGTTCGTCGTCGTCGTCATCGCCGTTGTGTCGTCGGCCCCGGGGTCCGTTTCCTGGGTTTTTTGCCCGTGTCCCTTGGGTGTGCGGGTGGCCCTGCCCGTTCGGCTCTCCCCCTTCGTGGGCGTATTCCGTACGGGCGAGGCTCCCGCCTGCCTGTGGGGCGCGGTCTTTTTCCATGTCTTGCACGGGCGGGTTCGCCCGCCGCCCGCGTGGGCGGGGCGCCGCGGCCACGCCGCGCGGCCGTGCGCGACGCCCGCGGATGCGCGGTTTGGGCTGAAGCGCGCTGTGATTTAAACAGTCCCTCCTCCTCTTCCTCCTCCTCCTCCTCCTCCTCCGCCTCCTCCTCCCTCCTCCTCCTCCTCCTCCTCCTCCTCCTCCTCCTCCTCCTCCTCCCTCCTCCTCCTCCTCCTCCTCCCCCTCCTCCTCCTCCTCCTCCTCCTCCTCCTCCTCCTCCTTATCCTCCTCCTCCTCCTCCTCCTCCTCCTCCTCCTCCTCCTGGCCCCGATGGTGGGGGCCTGGCACCTGTTCTCATGGTGTCAGCGCCACACTCCTCGGGGCACGCTGTCAGTGTCAACTGCATGCGGCGGCTGGGTGCTGATGAGCCGGATTTCGTCGTTTTTGCACCAGCCACGTGGCACTTTGCCCGTGGCAGCGGCGCGTTAGCTGCGCCCGTGACCTGGAGATGGGCACCAGGCACGGGGAGTGCGCATTTGGTTGAGAGGCGGGGCCGTGTGGTCCGTAAGTCCCTTGGGACCTTGTGTTCGCTCACCCTAGGGCACAAGCCCAGTTGCACGTGCCATCCGATTCGGCAGGGTTGACGGTCGGGAAGTACTGCGCGGTGACGCGGTGAACCGGCTGTCCCCCTACGCACCGCGCCGTCTCGGTTGGGCAGCGAGTCGCTGAGCGACGAGGTATCTGCCTTCCCCTGACCGTCGGCGCTGGCGCCTGCGGGCCCCTTCCTCCTGTCTGGGAGGCCGAGGGTGACGGTTGAGCCTCGCTCGCCGTTCACTTCTTGGATCTATGACACTCATGACACTCCTCCTCCTCCTCCTCCTCCTCCTCCTCCTCCTCCTTCTCCTCGTCCTCCCCCTCTTCTTCCTCCTCCTCCTCCTCCTCCTCCTCCTCCTCCTCCTCCTCCTCCTCCTCTTCCTCCTCCTCATCATCCTCCTGCTCCTCTCTTCCTCCCCTTCCTCTCTTTTTCCTGCTCCTCCACCTCTTCCTCCTCCTCCTTTTCCTTCTCCTCGCCCTCCCCGTCGGAACTTGGAACGAAAAGTCTAGCCGAGGAGGGCGCGCCAGCGCGCACGCAGCTCAAGACCGACATGAAGAGAGAGAGAGAGAGAGAGAAATAACAAAACACAGAGAGAGAGAGAGCGATACATAAAAAAACGAGAGATACATATAGAGGGAGAGAAAGAGAGAGAAAGAGAGAGAGAGAGAGAAAGAAATAAAGGGAGAGAGAGAGAGAGTGAGAAAGAGAGAGAGAGAGAGACAGAGAGAGAGAGAGAGAGAGTAGGGGAGGCCTAAGTAGCCCCATTGCATTGGTGAGCTTGGAGCGGCAGCAAGGCTTCTGCTCGTGCAGGGGAGGGGGCAGGATTCCCAGACCCCTCCGCTTCCACCCCCACCCGCGGGCGGGGGGCAGTCGGCGCGAACCGACTCCTTCCATAAACGGTGTTTGCCGCGACCAACTATTTGGGCGAATCTGCGCTCGGCAAGTCGGCAACCTTAGCGCTCGCAGCTGTGCAACGAAAGGACGGGGAAACGAATGATTGCCCTCAACATCTTTGGACACCGAAGGTATGAATGCCAAACAACATAAACCCACCGACAAGTGACGACGTTTAGCTTTGCTGTTGAGGGAATCCTGCCTGGGGTCAGCTCCTTCAGGCATTTCAAACATGTCCAGCCAAATAGCTCGCACACACATGTATATATGTATACATGCGCATACATACATACTTACACGGCGAAATACCGCCCCGTTACGACAGAGCTGCTTCACGAAGGGTGGCCATCGGATTCTGGACGCCCCTCCATCAGAATCCGATGCCGGATTTCTACAATCACCTGCTGATACCAGCGGCCTATGCCCAAGGATGGCTAGAGTGGATAGGAAAAGAAGGGAGTGATTTTATTAATGGAGAGTTAAGGAAGTTGTAGGAAACAGCTGCAGCACAGGTCAAGTCAGATGCAGGCTTTGTTGCCCTCCCACCTCTGCTCGAGAACGGTCGCTACTGCTGCACCATACGTCCCTTGCCATCGAATCCCGCCTCCTGAATCCGTCTGGCCTGGCCGCTGTGAGTTGGCAACATACGCCAGAAGGAGGCGCAGCTGGCACATGCTGCTGCTTGGTCGTGCCTCCTCCCCCCCACGTCTCGTCCCCTATCGCTATTGGCGTTGTCGTGACTCCACCACCTCCAGCTCCCTGCGGGAAGACCGTGGTGAAGGCCGAAATCCGGGAGGGAGGGGGGAGATGGTAGAGGATGGGAAGCAGAGGGGAGGGAGGCAGAGCTTTGCTTCAGCACTTCACTGAACAATGAACCGCCTTCCATGCTGATGCTACATGCTCTCTCAATCACTGCCCCCTCTTTTCACGCGTCGCGATTCCATCCCATAATGTGGCAGCGACCCGCTTGTATCCGCCGATGCTACGAATGAGAACGAAACGCCATTTCTGCCAAGACTATCGTAGTCCACGCGGCGCTGCAACGTGTCGTTATTATCAGGCATGCCGTAGTTGATGACTAGCCCCATCGATGTAGTGGAGATGTGTTTCTCCAAATCAGACGAAACGCCAAGATCTGCTTCGTGTGTTCGTGAAGTGAACTGATGCTCAGTCTCTTGAGGTCTCATCCAAGTCCACATGAACTAGTTGATGAACATCGAAGCCGCACTTGCTCAGGAATCCCGTCAACGCCTCTGCGCGTGGCTCTGAACGCGTATAGAGGACAGCTTGTCTGAAGGCCTGGGCATTGAGGATGTCCATCAGTTTTCTGTTCTTATATTTTTCGACAAGGTTACGCTAAACTGAGCCGTAGTACCCGTGGTGGAGAGATATTGCGGTTTGCACTCATGATCGGTTGCATGAACAAGCGTTGCTTGGGTGTCCCCCCGAAGCTTCTCAACTGCTGCCAAAATTGTGTCCTCAGTCAAGTCCAGCTGCAGCTTATGTAGCTCCAGAGCGTTGCCGCCCAGGGAGAGGACATCCGCTCGCGCCTCCTTGGCAATGTCTTGTATCTCATACAGGCGGGCCATAACCACATCATACCCAAGAGGCTCTGTCTCAGCAGTCTGGGCACCCGCGGTTGAAGTGAGAGGCTGGTATTCAGAATCCTCCATGCCAGTCACTTCCTGCGGCATGTCCGACTCATTCACATGCGAGTCGCACAGCATTGTGACAGTCGCTGGAATTCGTTTGGCGACACCGCTGACGAGCTTCCTTTTGATTTTGCTCGGAAAAGCGCGGCGCAGCGTGCAGTGAGATGCTTGCTGGAGCCTTCGGATGTGCACTCCAGCCTGATCAGAAAAACGCGCAGCAGCCGCCCATGTTCTCTGCCGACGAGCGAGGCTGAATCTTCCATGGCGGCGGGTCCGATGGAAGCGAGGAGCCAAAAGCAGGAAGTGAGGAGAGGTGCAGAGCAGCACGTGCCGAGCCTTGAGCCAACAGTGGCTACGGAGCCCCCTCCCCCTCCTCCTCCTCCTCCTCCTCCTCCTCCTCCTCCTCCTCCTCCTCCTCCTCCTCTTCCACCTCCTCCACCTCCTCCTCTTCCTCCTCCTCCTCCTCCTCCTCCTCCTCCTCCTCCTCCTCCTCCCTCTCCTTTCTCCTCCTCTGTCCTCCCTCTTCTTTCTCCTCCTCTCCTGTCCTCCCTCTTCTTTCTCCTCCTCCCCTGTCCTCACTCTGTCTCCTCCCCTGTCCTCCCTCTTCTTTCTCCTCCTCCTCCTCCTCCTCCTCCTCCTTCTCCTCCTCCTCCTCCTCCTCCTCCTCCTCCTCCTCCTCGTCCTCCTCCTCCTCCTCTGGCCCGAGAGGCCCTGCACATCCGCCAGCCCGCCCCCCCCCATGGGGTACCGCCGAGGCCCCTGGGCACCGCCCCGACGGACCAGCATCCGGGCGGGCACGAGCCGCCCAGGGAGCGCCCCGGGGGGGGGGGCGGGGGGCGCCCGAGTGCCAGGCCGCCGCCGAGCCAGCCCTCGGCGGAGGAGTCCGAGGCGTGCCCCTTCGCCGAGCAGCGACTCCGCGCCGACGTGCCCTCGCCGAGCCGCGCCCTGCCCTTCTCCCCCTCCTCCTCCTCCTCCTCCTCCTCCTCCTCCTCCTCCTCCTCCTCCTCCTCCTCCTCCCCCTCCTCCTCACCCTCCTCCTCCTCCTCCTCCTCCTCCCCTCCTCCTCCTCCTCCTCCTCCTCCTCCTCCTCCTCCTCCTCCTCCCCCTCCTCCTCCCCCTCCTCCTCCCCCTCCTCGCTGGTCCACGAGCCCGACCCCCGCCGATGCACGGCTCGGCGCACTGCCCTCGCCGAGCCCTGCCCTCGCCGAGCAACGAGCCCCGCCCCGGCCCTCGCCGAGCCCCGCGCGGTGGGCGCGTGCGGAGGTCGTCGGGCGCGCGGCGAGAGCGGAGCCTTTCCCCTCGCCTGCCGCCGCTGCCGGAGAGTCGAGGGCTGTCGGGGGGGGGCAGGGTGCGGATGCCGCCCCCTGATCGCGACTCTGCCGATGCGAGTCGGTCGGAGTTCGAGGGTTTCGATCTCGATCCGATTGGACTCTGCATTCCAACTTGGGTTTGGCTCTTGTTTTTGCGCAGGCCTCGGCTCGGGCCGCCAGGCTTCGAGCTCGATGCCTTCCGGTCTCCCTGCTGAGTTCTGCCGACCCGACGCAGGTCGATTGCCCTCTCCGACGTTGCGATTCGATGTGGGGCCATCCTGGCTGCCGGGAGGGGTGAAGGGGTTACCTTGACAACTTGGCATCGCTCGGACGTGCGCGTTTTTGTTTGGTCGGCGAGTCCGGCGCCAGAACACCTGGACCATCTGGAGCAAGTCATGCAACACATCAGACCACATGAATGAATCAGCACATGAGCACCCCAAGTTTCCTACGAAGCGACGGGGGCCGTCACCCCCGCCGACAGCCCCACATCGACCCCCGTCGCAGGCGGCCACCGCGCGCCGATGTTGGGGGGTATTGTTGGGCATCTGTTGGGCATCTTTGGAGCATGTTTTTATTTCTCGTTGAAGATCCCCCTGGAGGGGGGCACGCCCGACGTAAGGCTGCTCGGGCGAGCCGTGGAGGCCCGGCCGGGACTACGTGGTCGTTTTTTCTTTTTGTTTCCCCCGTTTGCCGATCGGCGCGGGCCCTCGCAGCCCCCCTCCTCCCTCCCCCCTCCTCTCCCTCCTCCTCCTCCTCCTCCTCCCCCCCCCTCCTCCTCCTCCTCCCTCCTCCTCCCCCTCCCACCTCCTCCTCCCCCTTCCTCCCCCTCCTCCCTCCTCCCCCTCCTCCCACTCCTCCTCCTCCTCCTCCTCCTCCCCCTCCTCCGCTTCCGCGCGAGCGCCTTCCAGCGTCTGGGCCCTCGCGCCCCCCCTCCCCCCTCTCCGCCATGGAGTAGATTTATGTCGGGCGTGTCCCCCTACAGGGGGATTTTCGACGAAAAATAAAAGAGTCCCCAAACATACCCCAAAAAGGCAAAACAATACCTAGAACAGATTATCAGACTATCTTTGGACTATTTTTCTATTATTTTGGGGGTATCTTTTTTTCGTCGGGAATCCCCCTGTAGGGGGACAGGCCCGACCTAAGACTAGATCTGGGCTGTTTTTTGGCGCCTGCCTCGAGCCGGCAGAGGCTCCCCTCATAGGACCCAGTGCTGCTAGCAGTCGCACTCACACCCCTCGCAGTGTCCATCGTAGGAGTTGCGAGGGTCGAGCAAAATCCCCACGAACCTGGCACGGTACGTGCAGCGCCAGGGGTGGCGGCCCGTCTTCCCATCCCACCACTAAGAGGGGGATGCGAAGTCCCTGAAGACGGGACGGGGTGGGCACGAGTGGGCATCATAGCCGGCTCAAAACCACAAGAGGCATCAAAGTTTCTGATATCCCAATTGCCAATTCATGCGTCGCAGCATGCTCTCCCCCTCCTTCCCGCCCCTTCCGCCCAATGTCGAAACGCCGAGAAAAAAACAAAAAAACGCTCAGTGTTCGTGGGGGCATGTTGAGACCGACGCGGGCTGCTCGGGGAGCCTGTCGAGGCCAGCCAGGGCTCTTTTCGGGGGGCCTGGTCTGAGGCCAGCCAGGACTTCCTGGGGGGTCTGTGGAGGCCAGCCGGGAGTACCTGGGAGGGGGCTGTCTGTGCGCATCCCGCGCGCGGCTGTGGTGCCAGAGCCACACCACACGGCGGGGGGGGGGCGTTACATTATACCCCCCCCGTCCCCCTCCCCCCTCCCCTAAAACGCCCATTATCGCCGAAAATAGGGGCATGTTGACACCGACGCGGGCTATCTGGGGGGCCTGTCGAGGCCAGCTGGGGCTCTTTTCGGGGGGGCTGTTCTGAGGCCAGCCAGGACTTATTGGAGGGTCTGTGGAGGCCAGCCGGGAGTACCTGGGAGGGGGCTGTCTGTCGGGGGCGGCCAAGAGAGGGGTGATGACTAGGGGGGTTGGATATCATGGCAGGGGCCATGCTATTTCTCCAGATTTCATGGCGCCTCTTCTTATTTCATTACGTCCCTGGCTCCCCCCTTGGGCCGCGCGCATGCCGCCGGCCATGATTTGCGCCCCCCCTGTTGGCCGCCCCCGAGTCTGTGCGCAGCCCGAAAAGCCTCCCAGGTTGCCTCCAACGCAGTGCCGCCTGCGATCCAGTTCGATGTGGTTCGATTCGCCAGCTGGGGCCACGATGTCGACGATTAGATCCGAGCTGGTTCGATTCACTGGCATTATGTCGGGCGTGTCCCCCTCCAGGGGGATCTTCGACGAACAGTAGAAAATACACCAAAAATACCCCAAAAAGGCAAAACAATATTCAAAATAGTCCCCAGACTATGTTTGGACGATTTGTTAATTATTTCTGGGGTATCTTTTCTTTTGAAAATACCCCTGTAGGGGGACAGGTCCGACTTCACACTGGCTTTGGACGAGGCCCGCCGGAGCTGAGCGCAGCGATCTGACTGCGATCCGATCCTGGACGACTCGCTGACGATCCGAGATACGTTTCCGATCCGATCTGATGCGGCGATTCGATCCAGCTGCCAGCTCAGGCCTGCAAATGTCCACCGCTCTCCAGCAGCAGACTGATCCAACGACGATCTCAAGCAGCGGGTGGAGACACGTTGACCTCCGTGGGTGTTCGCCATCGTCCTCTGGGAGCGGGGTCGGGGTGTTGAGACGCCCTTGGGGCCGCTTCTGCCCTCGGGAGGTGCCGTGCTTCGTGCCTGTCCCGAGACGGTGCCGTGGCCACACCGTCGGGCGAGCCAGCGGCTCAGGGGCGGCCCGATCCCGGAGCCAGCAAGGAGACGCGCGCACGCATGGGTCCTCGTGGGTCTCGAGCGTGTGCGCTGCGCGAGTGCTCGCAGCACGAGGCTGGCCTCGCGGACGGGGGGGAGGGGGGCGCGTACAGTCGAGGCGTTGACCTAAGGAACCCTAAATAAGGAACGAGGCCCCTTTTTTCGTAAGTTAAACTTCGACTTCCCATCGAAAACTGAAGGGAAACCTTAGGCAAGGTGTGGAACAATTAAGGAACATCGAGCTCCTCCCCAACGAAAAGGGTTCCTTCTTCAGCGCCCCGACTGTATCTGTGCACGTGGCTGAGCGCGTACGTCTTTTTTGTGGGCTCCCTGCCGACCGGTCTCTGCCGATCGGGCAGTTCGCCCCGCAACCGCATGGGCTTCCGCTTGCACAGCTGTTCGGCGGCGAGCCCAGGGAGGAAGTGACAGCAGGGGACAGGCTTTCTGAGAAGGCGGCGGGGCCTCTCCGAAGCCCCCGCCCCTCCTGAGCCTGAGAGGCTTCCTATGTCTTCGGGGAGTGCCTAGAGAACATGTCAGAAAACCCGAGGCCTTCCGAGCCTTCTGAGAAGGCCCGCCCCTTCGGACGCCTGGTGGCTTTCGGGCCACAGCAAAACTCTCCGGCGGCCGTTCGGGACGATCTGGGCTCCCCGAGGAACGCTCTCCGCGAGGCGCACCTGGTGATCGTTTTTTGATTCACTGTTTTGCCGATCGGCACGGGCCCCCAAACCCCCCTCCGCCCCCCATGGAGTAGATCTTGCCTGTTTTTTGGAGCCTGTTTCGAGCGGGTGGAGTCTCCCCAGAGGCAGCACTCTTGCAGACAGTCGCACCGAGCAGAGGTCTGGAGCCAGACCCCCCCCCTCCCCTCCCCCTTTCCGCCCACTGTCGAAACGCCGAGTCAGGAAACGCTCACCTGCTGGAAGGCACCGCGAGGCGAGAGCACACCCGAGAGCGAGCGGAAAACTTCTCCACCCCCCGGGGGGCTTCCAGTCGGCCACGCGCAGAAGGGGGGCGGGGGGAGGTGGGGAGGCTTCTTGGAAGCACCCCTGCTCCTTAGAAGGCGCGGACCCTGTATAAACGTACAGTGGAGGCCCATGCCAAGAAACACCCTGCTTGCCTCCAGGGTGTCCTGGGTTTCTTGGGTTTCGATGGTTTTGCGATGGTAAACGTGTCATTTCTACACCAAGCATCAATGGACGTCCTGGGGTCTCAGGGTTGGGTTTCTTGTGGAAGGTTTCTTGTGGATGGGCCTCCACTGTATGGCCAGCACCCTCTGAGAGGCAGCCTCCTTCCAAGAAGCCTTCCCCCCTCGTCCTACCCCCCTGTGCGCGCCGCCAAGGAAGGCGCCTCGAGGCGAGGGGACCTCCGAGAGCGAACAGAAACCTTCCCTCGACAAGCGCGTTCCGCTGCTCGCAGAGTAGCTACTCGCAAATGGCGAACATCCGCCGCGGGGGCTCACGATCCATGACATCGAGGAAGACTTGACTCCCCAATCAGTGCTTGCACTGAAAGCGTCCTAGCAGAGATTGGAAGGTTTGGCAAAAGTTTCCCGCCGATCTTGGCGGCTTGCTGGTTTCCCGAGTTCCCGGTTCCGGGTTCCCGGGTTCTTGGTTGATGGTTCCGGGCCGACTTCGGCGGGTTCGGGTTCCCGGGTTCCCGGTCGATCTCCTTGTCGATCAAACCCTCCCTCGATTTGGGTTTTTCTCTGGTGTAATGTTTTTTGTTGCGGACGTTTGCCAGCAGGCATTCGGCGAGTCCCTCCCCCCCCGGGGGCCTCCCGGGCAGACAAGGGCCCCTCCGCGGCGGCCCCCCTCGCCTCGGTCTCAAGACGTACGCAGGCGGGCGGCGCGGAGCGGGGTCCCTCGAGGGCGACAGGGGGCTCGCTGCTCAAACATAAGCCTGAACCAGTCTGGCGGCGATGTTTGGACTAGTTCTTAACATGAAACAAGATGTACGTAGGCGGGCGGCCCGGAGCGGGGTCCCTCGAGGGCGACAGGGGGCTCGCTGCTCAAAAATAAGCATGAAATAGTCTGGCGGCGATGTTTGTATTATTATTTCTTAACATAAAATAAAGAAAAACAAAACAAATGTTTCGTCCAAAACTCCCCCTCCAGGAGGACACGCCCGAACTGAGCCCGGCCGTGCCTGGCAGCGGTCGCCACGCGTCCAGGCCTCAGACCGGCACGGGTCGAGGCGTGCAGACGGAGGGCCTGCGTGGACCGGTGGGGCATCCGATGGGGCGTGCGCCCCTCTGAGCTCGTGCGTCCCTATGGGCCTCTCGGCAGGGCGCCCGCGAGTCCACAGCGCGCTGTGCCTCGCCCGCGGCTCCTGCGGGCGGGGCCCGCCCGGGCGCAGTCCAAGACCCGCCTGTAGGGGGACACGCCCGACAGAAAGCCAGTGGCCAATGCCAATGACGCGTGGGCGACGCCAGAAGCGGGGTCGTCTTCGCCGACATTGGCGCGTCAGCTCCCCGCGTAAGATCGCGCGTGCGCGCCCTCGTCCCCAATATGAAGTGCCGCGCTGGCGGCCCGCGCGAGCTACCGCGTAGGATACCTGTGTCATCTCGCGTAAGACCCGCTTGTTCTCATCGCTCTCATGGAGGTGCGCAGCCTGCAGCAAGCTGGTGCGACCCACAGCTCGCCCGTTTTTCCTGCATGGTTCGTCCGCAGTGTGCGGCTCACGCGCAGTCTGCGCATGCCCTGCCCGAGCGCCAGAGGCAGGCCAGAGGGCGACGAGTGGTATGTTTGCAGGTCGGTAAAGCACCAATCGATGATGACCTGTGGTGTAGGCTTGAATTGACCGACCGCCCCCCCTCGACGTTTGTTTGCTTCCTTCAGCTTTCGTCCACGGGCACAGGGTGCATGGCAGCCACGCCGCCTGGAGCGAAGGCCACTTCACCTTACGTGGGCTTTGCGGCCGCGGAATTGAAGCCTCGCGATTTGCGCATGGAGTGCCAAGTCGCTCTGCATGGCCCGGCGGCCCTCAAGGCACAGAACTGCGAAGCGTCGTGGAGGTTGAGACAAGGCAGGCCCCCCGAGAGGAAGCGCGTGGACCTGAGCAGCTCCTCCTCCTCCTCCTCCTCCTCCTCCTCCTCCTCCTCCTCCTCCTCCTCCTCCTCCCCGAGCGTTTCCCTCGGGATTCGAAGCAGTCGCATACCTCCTCCTCCTCCTCCTCCTCCTCCTCCTGCTCCTCCTCCTCCTCCTCCCTCCTCCCTCCTCCTCCTCCTCCTTCTCCTCCTGATCCTCCTCCTCCTCCTCCTCCTCCTCCTCCTCCTCCTCCTCCTCCTCCTCACGGTCAATCCCGTCGTCGTCTCACAGTGCGTCGATTCTCCCCTGCTCGGCAGGCTCTTCGGAGGCTTGGCCGGCAGTGGCCCACAGCAGCAGCAGAGGAAGAGCTGGGCCCTCGGGCACAGCCCGTGAGGGAAGGGGGCGGGAGCCAGACGGGGCTCGGGCGAGGACATTTCCGTTCCAGAGCGTCTCGGAACGCTCTCAGAGCGTTCCGGAACGCTCTGGGAAGGCCGTGGCGCCCGATACATCTCCCTTGCGTGTTCCCCTGCAGGCAGATCTTGCATGACAAATGAAGAATAGTCTATAAAAACAAAAAAGTGCGAATACTCCCAAAAAATAGTCCCCGCATTATTTTTGGACTCTTTTTGTGTATTCCCTTGCAGAGGGACATGCCGGACTTACCCCAGAGCCGCCGGAATTCAGAGATGCTCGATTTGGGCGGCGAGAACTGGAGGGGCGATAGCTGGGGGGGGCAGCGAGGGCTGCCGAGAAAGGGGCCCCTCGGGCCCCTGACCGGGCCCTCTAGGGCCCGGAAAGGGCCTTTGATCAGTATCGTTTAACCGACCCCCATCCCCATCCTCATCCCCCTCGAGACCCCCACCGAATTACCACCCCAGTTGGGGATACGGGATACACCCCTCGAAACCCAAAGGGAACGGCCCAGATCCCCATCTAGGGTGGGAAATCGGCCAGTGGGGCCCAGGCCACGCCGCTGGGGATGGGGGTCGGATAAACGATGTTCATTTTAGGGCCCGAAAAGGGCACCTTCATTCCCCGCCCATTGATCGCCCCCCCATGACTTCGCGCTCAATGTATCCTCACCCGATGTTATCCTCGTCCTGGCTGCGTCTTGAGGGGGGCCCAGGAGCCGAGCAACGACTTCGTGCCCGCCCCGGCGCACGGCTTCGGGGCCCGCCGCGCCCGCCCCGCCCAGAGACGTCCGCCGCAGGGCCCGCCTCGGTCCGATCTCGATCCCTTTCGGTGTCGATTCCGGCCGGCCCGATCCGACTCGAGTCCAGTATTCCCGACGATTCGCAACCCTGAAATCCTGGCGTCTCAATTTGTCGGGCCGGGCGTTTTCCCCTTTTTCGGGCCTCAGGACCCTTGCAGATCGATCCAGCTCGACAAGTGACGCAGAAGGATGGGGCCTAGGGCTCCGGGTGTGATGTTTTACGATGTTGCACGTTTCCCTACCTCGGATCTCAGGGGAGAGTGACCCTTCGCCGGAGTGACCGTTGGGGCGGTCTCACCGGGGTCCCCCCGATCGCTGAGCGCGATGCGATGGTGGCTGCCTGCGCGCTTGGATCTGGCCACCCTGCGCCCTCTTCATCCGCGCACTGAAGGTCGCTCTTGCCTGGGGTCACGCTGGCATGCAGCCGATATTCGTCGGAAGCCAAGGGGCGAGGGCCAATGCAGACGGGGGTCAGCCGGTGCGCCAGATCGTGCAGGATCGTGCAGAGCCAGGACTGCATCGACCAGGGCTTGCGCCCAGGATCCTGCAGGATCCTGCAAAGCCTGCCTGACCCGGGTTTGCATTGACCCGGGTCAGTGCGTCCCCGAATTCGGGAAGATCGAAATGGGTACGGGAAAAAAAGGGCACACAGGTTGACAGCATTTCTTATTCATTTTGAGCAGGACCCGCTGTCGGTGTCGCTGCGGACCTTGTCCATGTGAGTCAGAAGGTCGTCTGCTCAACAAAGGCACCTCTCTGTCGGTTTGGGGCAGCTTTTTTGTCAGGCATCGTATTTTCCCCCTGTTTACCCTACCCATTTTGGGAGCCAAAGGGCATTCGCCATGGAACAAACTTTTGCGAAGCGTCCCGGCTCGCCTACAGGCCTACCAAAGAATGTTCTAAGAACCTTCCGTGGCTTCCACGAAATATTCTTAGAACATGTTTGGCTGGGACTGTCTTTTTTTCACACATCGGGCTGATGCTCTAAGAACATGGTTTTTGTTCTTAGAACATTTCTGGGTTCTAAGAACATTTCGTGGTAGGACTATAGGAATGCCGGGACGGTCGGTCTCTGCTCAAATGGAGGTGGCGGGTCCTCCGGGCCGGACGACAGGGTAGGATGGGGAAAGTGGGGGCTTCGAAAGCTGCTGCATGCAGCTGGCTTCGGCCCCAGCCGCCGGACACGTGCCTCTCGACACATGGGCGCCTCCCTTCGCCGGGAGGCGCCAGGAAAGCCTGGAGGAGGAGGAGGAGGAGGAGGAGGAGGAGGAGGAGGAGGAGGAGGAGGACCAGAGGAGGGGGAGGAGGAAGAGGAGGAGGAGGAAGAGAAGGAGAAGGAGGAGGAGGAGGAGGAGAAGGAGGAGGAGCTACAAGAGAGCAGCTTCTCTACCCTGCCCCCTTGCTGTCCCGCCCTCTGCCGTCCCCCCCGAGGCCCGAGGGAGTCGGGAGGAGATGGAGGGGGAGGGGGAGGAGGAGGAGGAGGAGGAGGAGGAGGAGGAGGAGGAGGAGGAGGAGGAGGAGGAGGAGGAGGAGGA